TATCACATTGGCGCATCTAAACCCAAAGTTTGCTTCAACCAATCATTTGGCCCATCCTCCTGCGGTGGCATTTTTATTAGCATGCTAACTTGAGACGGCGTTGCGCGAATTATTTTATGGAACAGGCAAGTATAAGTGTTTATCGTAATTGCACACAGGTGTCTTTACTGGAGTGTTTACAAGGTGGCGTGGTATTTCATGGTATTAGATGTGCGAGTGTATTTCATTTTGACAAAAAAACCAGTTCCATTAGACCCTTGAGCGGTAGTATTTGATCTTTGGAACATTCCACTGATCATTCACTCTGATTTGCATTATTTGTTTTGTTACGTTCCCTTGATGCAGTTCTTGTAAGCACCAATCTTAATGTGTAGTGATTACGTTTGTCGATCTCTCTTTATAATTGTCTTTTATTTTGATTACACTCAGCTTTAATTTATTCATCTAACTCACCAAAGTCTCCTCACTGGGTCTGATATTTTCAAGATACAACACTTATCATGCTAACACGTATACAATACCCAAATTACTTTGGAATAACAGTGAGGAGCTTTGATATAAACTATCTGTAATCAGAATTACATAAAAATGAGTCTTCAAAACGCAAAGCATAGTCTACATGTCTGTCATTGATATCAGGCAACTTGGAAAAGATATCCCATGTGCACTGCAAAGCTTATGGTAAAGATAAGCACGTATGGTGGGAAGGGTCCTACGGTCACGACTCTTTGAATCAATGCTCTACCTCCTGTCATGTAAAAAAAGAACTGCTAATCGAAAACGAGATAAAAAAAAGGTTATAGCTCAAGAGGTTGTTTTAGATGAGTGTTAGCGTAGGACTTGGTGCATGCGGTGTTGCGTCGGTATTCTTCGGTTCGATGTTTGTTCCAATTAGGAAGCACGACGCAGCAGACGGTAAGTTTTTATAACTTTTCACTATGAGAGAAATGACAGATCATTATTCCAGGAATGTTTGCACAATGGGTGATGTCGGTTGCAATTCTTTTTGTTGGTTTTCTAATCTTTTGTCTCCAAGGGTTTCCAGGCTTTTATCCGTTGGCCATGGTCGGCGGTGTATTTTGGACCATCGGTGATTTATGTTCAT